GAAATTACGCTCTTCACAGGCAGCCTGTCTCCTTAGCTACTGAGCAGTGTCGTAAAGCCTTGGGACAGCAGGATGAGGCACAGCCACAGTTTCTCTCACTCGCTGTGGATGCCCTCCCCAGATTCCCAGAGTCTGGCTTCAGCTGCTGTGGGTACGCACAAGGAAAGCAGGTTCCGAAGACGCAGAAGGCTTTAGTTGTGACAGTTTCCTCTACACTATTTCTGTGAGGTGACAAGAAATCTCATTACACAAATCGATTTAAAAACATGAGGTACTTTCTTGACAGATGCTGAGTGCTGAAAGGTTTTGCTGCCAGTTGCTGCCCAATGTCTGAACTGTAAATCAACAAGTTGATTGCCCTGAAAGAGTCTTGCTATCTACAAATACAAACTCATAGTCAGAACGCATTTTCTCCAACATAAATTTATAACCTCTCTAGGCTTAATTATCTCTTCATCATGTGCTGATTACAGAAATACTATTCCCCGCAAAGCAAAGCTTCAGAACATGACGTACCCCTACGGCGTGGCCAGGGAGTAAGAAGCCACGACTGAAGCTCTCGGATGTTCGGGCACCCAACTCTTCCATCACTAGGAGAAGAACTTCCTGCCACTTTGAATTTTTAAGAACTTTAAGACAACTTTAAACATTCCTCAGTAAGAGTTTCCAAGAACTGAGACAGCAAAATCTGTGCCAGTGTGAAAATTTGACCCTTTTGGAGTTGTTTGCAAAGACGGCAGTGAGCGTAAGCTCGGGTAGAGGACGGGCAGGCATCCGCGCAGGGCGGCAGGCTGCTGGGGCCGCAGAGGATCTTCCTTCCCGCCTTGGCTCCGTGGGCAGCGCCACGTCTGCTGTCTCGCTTGGGAGAGGCAGGCTGCGTGCAGAATCCTTCTCTTCTTTCTCCTCCTCTTCTACAGACGGACTGGCAAGCCCCAGGACCTTTGTTCTTGTGGCAGCAAAGTCCAGCTGTGCTGCAGAGCTGAGCAGCGTTGTATCGGTCCGCGTGCTGACCGCTCTGCTGCTTAAGGTACCTATTCACTGTAAATCAGCTTACAGACACCAAGTACAGCAGACCACATCATGCACAGCTCAAAGCCTCCTGCAAGCCTTAGTCATGTAAAACTGAATCAATTAACTTGTCACTTCAGTGCAGCCACTTCAGGGGATGAAAAGCTTCGTCACATTGCGTAGGTTTAAATAAACTGCTACGAATTATTACAAAGATTAAAGAGAACTACAGAAACTGCAGTGCAGCAAGAAACAAGATTTCTAACTGCCACGAAGTAGCCAAAGGCGCCGGGCATCCTCAGTGAGTGCAGGGGAACAGGCCTACAGCGGCATGACTCATCTGAGCAGCCGGCAGGGCTGTAAGCTTCCTCCCCACTGCTGCAATACCCCTGGGCAGGAGAGAAAATAAACATTTGGGAATATTTATCTAAGAGAGACTACAAAGGCAAACATCCTTCATTACCCAGCAAGCACAAAGCGGAACAGGGGTGGGGGGAATTTTAGCTCACGCAGCATAGCAGATCATCAGGTGTTACAATATTACGGATCGGAGTAGTTCTAAAAAAACCCAAAAGAGCGTGACTAAATGTAATAATTTGAAGGGGGAGATCTGTGAAAAAAAAATATGGACAGTCTTGTACCTAAACATTTAGAAGTCACCAAGAACCATAAGAGCTGAAAAATCAGAATAGCTGTTGCAAAAAGCCATTCTCTAAAGTGTTACTCAACACATGAAAAAAATGCCCGTGTAAAGAAAATTAAACTTAGAGGAAAGATACAGAAAAGTAATTTCAGAAAAGCTGAAAAGGCTTCCCTATAATTTTCCCCATCTTTATTATTGGCACATACTTTTAATCAAATTCCTACAATGGAAATTGAAAAGGAGGATTAGGAAAATGCTCCGTTAGTAGTCATGGCTTCTTCCTCAACAACAGAAGTATAGCTCACTTGGAAAACATTACTTTGCTTCCTTAACCTACTACAAGATCCTCCAGAAACTTTGTTTTCTTGATGGAAGAAGAGGGAAAAAACTAAAACGCCACTCGGCTCCGTGGTTCCGGAGACACAAACACTGCTCCAGTGCACCGGGAATCAGCCTCTTCCAGCTCCTTTGCGTCCTGCTCTGCCCCGTGTCACAGCACCAGCAAACGGGAGGGATGCCCTGATGTAGCCCTGTTTACTCACGTCCTTCTGCTTCACTGTCAAGCACTGGAGTCTATGGAACAAATAA